GGGCTATTAGAGACCACCATGAAAAAAGCTCATCCAAAATTTGAGAATGAATAAGATGACCAATGATAATGTACACTTATCACAGAATGTTTATTATATTTCTGCTCACATGCAATCTACAATCCCGGCCCCGGTTTCTCTATTCCTCGGTTTATCAGTAGAGCTAGTTGATCTAAGAAGTTCCGATTAAAGAGTTGCTACGACCCAACCCAATGCCCTCGGTTCGTAACCAGATTTGGTGACGCGTGACAGTGTTGTGTGGCCTCTTACTGACTGCATCCCTCTGGCACACTGTGTACGGTGACAATTGCTAAAAGTAGGGTTAGGCTTTTCAGCTTAGGTTAAGCTTTGTATGTACCATATTTTGATTACCTCTTAGAAACAGCTTATAGAGAGCTCTCGGTTTAAAGGACGTTTTCGGAACAAATTTGCGTGAATGATCGATTATGCTTCAGTTATTAATAAGCGTAAGAATGCACAACACAATCTCGAGATTGCGCTGCAGTCAGACCGATCGCGCTAGGAATTGCACTGCGCGATTAAAGAAATGTGCCGCCCGCACATCTTAAGGATTGCACTAGATCGAAGAGTGCGCAGCAACACATTTGCTTCAAATCACATGCTTATAATCTCAGTGTAGCAGCTGAACAACAAACATTTTAGTGTTAATAGATCTTCTTCATTTTGTATGACAGCGTCTATTTGAACCAGAAATGCTACTGCCATCACTCAGTGTTCGAAACATAAGACCATGCCTATGCACTTTGATACCATCCAGGGTGCACAAATGTTGAAGCAACAAGCTAGCTTTTTGCAAAACAACAAATAGATCAGTTCATTATAGAAAGAAAGCTCAAACTGCAATGCTGCAAAAGTAACAGTGAAAGCAATTCATATCACTAGTCAAAGAACTGCTCACCATAGCTAGAAAAAACAAATATACTATCTGATGGAGTGTGAAGAAAATGATAGCTGGCCTTATTCTGAGTTTAGTGTTAATCTATCATATAAAATATGACAAAAAATGCTAGAAAAATGTCTCCGCCGACACACGCTGGACACCTCTCGTCGCTCTCGCCTACGTAGACACACGCTCACATAGCAATTACGTCTCTCCTGACGAACACGCCGGATCACTTTCGTGTACTCGCATTATCGCGACACATGCTCCACGTAGCAACACTCTTTCCCGATGGGTATGGTTACAATTGGCTGTCGGTGTAAATTAGACATTGGAAAGTTTGCCTCTTGGTTATTTCCTTAGCCACGGCACAGTTTAAACGCGTGTCACCCAAGCTGTCATGCTAAAGACAATGTTATGGAAAAGCCTCCATAGGTATTGACCGTGATGAGCGATTGCATTAGACATCGATGAATCGCAGGATGAACCAGACAACTGCAAAATGATTAAAGAGAATACACAGATCCAGACAGCGTTGAGAAGCAATTTTCCTTACATCCATGTGACAGAACCAGCATCTCTCTCATCTTTGATTAGATTGCCACATGTTGAATTGTTGCGCGATCTTTTCGGTCAGATACACAGGTTCTCAGAACTGTGCGATGGAACGTAGAATTGCTTTTAGAAATTATTATATTTTATCAATTCTTATTAAATTTTAATATCTGCTGTCTGTCCAGTCGAGCCTCAAATGTTTCTGACTTGGTGAACATACAGTTTTCGTATAGGTTTTCCATGGTTGTACTATACACAGTATACAAATTACTGAATGAGTCATTTTCCTCATGCCTCTATTTGACGCTATGCCACACACCAGTTTACTATTTGTGGCATTATGTGCCCCTGTGGACCTCTATGTTTGGTAAATGCTAAGAAAAACATCTATGGGCTTGTAGCTATCTGAACAAATTGAGACATGGTGTATTTCTATCTTGGAGTAATATTCTGCACATCATCAGAATGATTACTCCAAAGTTCTATCACTGTCGCTGCAGGAGACGTCTATAAGTAATAAGCTAAAGTTCGCGGAGTGTAAACGTTTTAGATCTCTCCTCGTTAAAGGCTACATCTTTAATAGATTTATATTGTTATAAGTCTTATTAACATATAGATACTATATCAAGATATGTCTTACCATTACTGTAAATATTACATTTTTTTAGCCGAACGTTTTAATCTGATGGCAAATGACACGCGCTAAAATAATCGAGTTACTTTAATAGACCATCAGCATAACCAATAAATGCTATGTTATTTTAAAGGAACCACGAATGGAAATAAGTGTTGCTAGTCACGGCTTTTTGTGTTTTCCATCCTCGATAAGTTACTCTAGCTGCTATTGTTTATTT